GCAATCATTTTATTGATGTGCTCAACAGCATTGGAGACCCCTTTTCCCAGATACTGGGTCTTATCATTGTCCCGGGGCTCCAGGGCCTCATAGATCCCAGTGGAGGCACTACTGGGCACAGCAGTTCTGAAGAGCCCTTTGGCGGTGTAAAGATTGACCTCAACGGTGGGATTTCCACGGGAGTCGAAGCTCTCTCTGGCGTGCATCTTGAGGACAGACATGGTGGATTTCATTGCCCAGGAAGGAAGTGGAGGAGGCTGCAGACACCGAGATGGGTGTTGGGTCAACAGAGTCCAGATGCTGCGACTCCAATGCTATTTTCATCTACCAAATTTTCAGATGAAATGTCAGGGTCAAGGTCATCAGCTGAGGATGTATGAGATCCCTGCATAAATAGAGGCTAGAAATGAGATCCCTGCATAAATAGAGGCTGCAACCGAGGAACGAGAAGCCACATCACTGAGATCATGAGGCAGAGCAATGGGCTTCCCAGCCCCTGGGCCTGAGTAAAGCTGAATGTCTCCGGAGAGGAGGCTAGCTTACACAGTGGAGTGGCTTTTGGATAAATTTTACCCACCAAATGCTGGACTACTGGTTGAGTGCTTAACTGTTTATTGGCTCTAAAGAGGTTTTGTGACACTTGCCCAAGCAGGCTCAAAGACCAGAGAGAAACATGCCTGCAGACATGGGAGAGAAGAGGCACCAGGGACAGAGACTGATCTCAGTTTGTTGTAACCTGGTAACTTCTCCAATAACCCCTCATAATTATGAATGTGATCTGTGAGTTCTATGTGGCCATTGCAATGGAGTATCGAACCTAGCAGAGACACTGAGGGCCATAGGAGGGAGGGTTGGTGTCAGAATAGGGTAGAGAAGGTTGGGTGGTATGTCTGACCTCTACCTTAAAGGACTCCCTTAGGCAGACACGTCTTCCCCCCTTGTGCCACTGGAGCATGTCAGATTTGGCCCCATACCATTCCATCCAATGTACACCAATTTAAAAGAAAAGGGCCATTTCTTTAAGGATGCTAGCCCATTTTATTTTTATCTCTCTATCATCTAAACCTACTCACTATCCTTGGGGATCCCTGACCTTACCAGTCAGGGAATTACTTTAGAAGAGAAAACAAACACCCTTATTGGTAGAATGGGCATCTCTCTTCGATGCTTCTATCCAGAGTGAACTGTCATAGATTGCAAGTTGCACGCTTGTGAAGAGAGGAGGCAGGAACTACCCAAATCCCTCCCACTGACTAGGATGTACCACAGGCAGCAGCTTGTAAACCTCACAAGAGACAGCACAGGTAAGGTTTCTGACATTGCCATCTGGAGACCAGCAGCCGTGATGCCCGGGCTTTCCCATTAGCAGATCAGTTCAACAATGAGGTTTTGGAATAGTTCTTTATGTGATATTTGAGAATAATTCAGAGATGAGGGTTTGGAAGAATTCCCAACTCAACCCAGGCCTAGTTCTTGAGCCATCTAATTTCAGAAAGTGATCCAATAGACTGTTTATAAATGTCATTCTGCTTTATTTAGCCAGATTTCTAGTCCTCACAACTGGGAAGTCTGAACCAGAGTAATTGGTAAGTATTCATATAAGAATTGTTTAATAATCTATGTTATGAGAAGGCAAAATATGAAACTGTGAGTATAATGCACGTATGAGTTCCCACATGATGTTAAATATCATTTCTTTATGTGTCATTATACATGTTAAGATAGTGTTGTCATTCGCTGGTAGGTGCTGTCAAGCTGGCTCTGACTCTTCGCGACTCTGTGGACAATGGATTGAAACACTGCCCACTCATGCACCAGCCTCACATGTTTTTGAAGCAATTGTGTGAATTCATCTCAGAAGGGGACCTTGCCTTTTTCGCTGCCCCTTTACCTTACCTAGCATGATGTTCTTCTCCAGGGTCTGGTCTCTCCTGACAACAGGTCCCAAGTGCATGAGAAGAAGTCTTACCATCCTTGTCTTTAAGGAACACTTTGGCCATCCTTCTTCCAAGACAGACACATTTGTTCTTTTGACAGGACAAACAAATATTTTTAACAACATTTTCACTATCCTTCTGTGATGGGTTTTCATTGTGGTTGTTTTATTTTACTACCATGTATCAATGTGCCATAATGTAGGAGTAAAATTTTAAATAAAATACAATATTCTGATACTTAGGGCCCCAACCAAAGAATTCTAAGGTATTTTATTTCCATGGTTTTAACTCTCTGAGTTCTTATAAATATCATATGAATTCATCCTTCTTTAAAAAAACATTTTTATTGATATAAAATTCACATATCATACATTTCCATGTGATTATTAGGTTTTTGTGCCAACATGACACCTGTAAGAATATCTGAGGAAGGATATTGGGACTCCACTCAAGTACTCCCTCAATGCAAGAATACTTTGTTCTATTAAATTGGCATTCTATGATGCTCACCTTCCCGACACAACCGCTGAAGACAAAGAGGATGAATAAGCAAAAGTGGTGAAGAAAGCTGATGGTGC